AGAGTCAAGGCTTCCAGGTCAGGGGGGGCTTGGGGGGGAATTCTGGGGTTTTTTTGGCTACTGTGCTTGAAAAGCAGCAGTTTTCCAGGCCAGCAAAGCAGCATGGTGTCCACAGGGACCCCCCCATGCCAGCACAGCTGCCCTTTCCGTTCCTATCCCCGCTCCCAAGCCTGAAGCCAGCATCCACACACGGCACACCCTGTCTGGGTTTCAGCTCTACAGTAGTTTTTAAAAAATATTTATATGTTATATACCCTAAAAAGGTCACCACAGGAATTTCCATTTCTTTGGAAGGAAGGAACAAGAAAATAAAAATCAAAACTGTTTCACAGAAGAAAATAAAATCCAATTATCGGCAGTGTTCACCTACAGGACAAAACCCCTGGCCACAGCGGATTGGGGGGGGACACCTTCTCCAGAAAGGTCAGAAACACAGGTGAGTAACTAAAAATAACTAGTCTGGTATAAATGTCTGAATTCCATGCGCTTGATATAACAGTCCGTCTCTTTTTGTCTTTTTTTTTTCCTTAAAAAATATATATATAGTTATTGCTTTCTCAAGGGCCAGCGGGCGCAGGGCACCCTCAATGGGGGAGCGCGGCAGGCTCAGTGGGGTTTGCTTTCTTCCTCCTCTTCATCAGCAAAGGGTTTGAGGAGTCCTCGATTTTCTTGATCTTGATTTGTTCGTAGTCCACTCGCATGGTGGCCAGTGCGCTCGTCATCTCCTCCTGCGGGCACAGGCAGCGCCCGTCAGCACAGCCCAGGACCCCCGGAACCCCCAGGGCAGGGGACCCCTCCCACCCCCAGTGGGAACAAAGCACAGCGCAGGCTGAGGGTCGCACAGCCAATTTTTCCAGCCCAATTCGGAGCATGGACCCCTGTGGGAGCCAGTCCGGATGAGCACGGTTTGTAACGAGAAAGCAGGAGGGTACAGTCCCCAGGTGACACCCAGGGTGTGGAGCAATTCAGACAGCGATGGAGAGGGGCTTTACCTTCACGTCCTCCCACAAATCCTTCTCCTCTTTCAGCACGCGGCTGGTGTGTAGCGGGGTCTGTGGCACCTGCATGGATTGCTGCCAAGAGAGC